AAAAAAAAATCTGGGGAAAAAAAAGTATTGTGTAGAATTGAAATACAAACGACTTTGGCTGAGGGTCACATTATAATTCCTCACAGAATCGGAGATAAAAAGAAATAACAGAATCACACAAAGGTACCCTCCTTTAGACCCCTTTAGCCCCTTTAAAACCAATTTGTACCCCCCTCCCCCCCTTTTGACAGCCAACTCGCAAAAAAACGAAATGAGCCCGGATTTGGGGTCCTCTGGGAGAGTGCAGAAAACAACAACAACAACAAAAAGAATCTTTTTTTTTTTTTGTTTCCCTTGCACACCCAGGTGCGCCGGGCGTCAGACCCCCCCGGGTGTCACGCCCGGGTGCCCAGTCGGGCAGGACCGGCCGGGCGTGAGAATCTTCCTAGATTCTTAGTATTTCTTACCCTCCCGGGGAGCGAGAACGCGCAGCTTATACCTGTACACTATTTTGGTTGGTAGTTGTGCAAGGAAAATTAGCAATAGCGCATTCCAGAAACGAAGCAGCATCATACACATGAAACCAGATAGTCGTGACCTCGAACCAAAAGCAGAATTGCAACTCGATCTCCACCAAATAAAAGCACAGCAAAAGCTCACAAGTGACAATGTTGGAATAGTCTCATCATCATCAACAATGAACCAATGTTGATTCCCTATCCGGCGCTCGGCGCCCAGACTACGAATGGCAGATCCTATCTAGCCTATTTCCGCTGGTGACGTCAACAGCTCCCTGAAGTACGAGCAGATCTTGGCCAATGCCATTCGCCTCAAGCACCAGGTATGTCTCACACTTCACTCACAACCTCGATCCCCCACACAGATGCCACATGCACCCAAGAACCACCATGCGCCCCATCCAGCACCTCGCAGGGCAGCTCGGCTATGGCTGCCTGCGTGTAACATGCTCGACCGTGAGCGAGTGGGTGCTTGCCTGCCAGTAGCGCACCAGCACTTGCACAGCATGTAGCAAGTGCCCCAATGCCGAATGCGGGGGCAGGCGGTTTCCTATATGGAAGTGGCGTGCCTGCTGAGCGCTGCCTGGCTGCGCTGGGCCCCTGCCCTGAAGCTTCCGGTAGGCCGCAAGTGGTTGAGCCCTGGTCCAAGGGAATCAGACACAGGGCCTGGGGTGGTTACCCATGTCCAACTGCCAGCGGCCTGTGCGCAGTACATGCCCCGTGTCTAGCCTAGGGCCTGCCTCAAATACATTTGAAAAAGGAAGGCAGGGCCTGGGTTCTCTCAACCAACTGGCGCTGCGCAACTGCCTGAATTTCCCAGTTGCGTGGAAAGCCCGAAATAGGCCTCTCGTCCTTGGTCAGGCCTGCCTTCACTTAGGGCGGCCAATATTGCTGAAAACAGGGCCCAGTAGGGCTCATCGAGGCCTTGAGCCTCGCATTTCCTCCTCCATACTTTGACAGTCCTCTGAGAAGTTCAATCACTCAATCGGGCGCTTTCCTTTCTGCAGTGACTTCTCATACTGAGCGACAACTTGTGGAGCGGTCTACATGAGCTCCTCCCGTGTAAACCATCTGTCCTCTTTTGGATCAGTGTGATGTCTGAACCGAACGCAATATTGCAGTTTCGATTTAGAAGGACGTCTCCTGCCTGTGGGTCTTGGAACTGGCATTTCTCTGTGTTCCACGATGTCGTCGATGTCAACCTCTCCATCCATGGTTGGGGGCAGCATTGAGCGACGAGGGGGAAACTGATCAGTTTCCTTGGAAGGTGCGAGCTCAGAGGCGTGAAAAAGGGTAGGTGCGAAGGTGACCAGGGATCCATACTACATACGATGGCCCATCCGGATCATTAACTTGTCAGGTATGTCAGAGAGACAAGCCACATGCATAGGCCCCTCTTGGGCTTCTCAATCCCCTTCCAATACTGGAAAGGCCCGGTGAGAGCCTGTCCATGGACTTCATGGACACGCTGGTCACCAGCAAGAGTGGAATACGATATGTCTATGTCATTGTGGATAGGTTTAGTAAGTATGCGAGGCTAGTCGCAATGCCTGCTACAGCCAAGACTGAGTACGTAAACAAGCTGTTCAAGGAAAACTGAGTCTGGGATGTTGGATTGCCAAAGTCTATTGTGAGTGACCGGGATGTGCGATTTACTAGTGAACTGTGGAAGGCTGCAGCTGCAGAACAGGGTACACAGCTGCAGATGACTTCCGGGAACCACCCAGAGGCAAAAGGGCAAGCAGAGCAGCTGAATCGCGCTGTACAACACATGTTGAGGCACTACATTAAGCCCAACCAGGTGGACTGGGATGAGAAACTGGCTCTCATTGCCAGCCTGTACAACAATGTTGTGCACAGAGCAACATGGGTGAGTCCAAACAGCCTGCTACTGACATTCAAGCCTAGACTGCCTCTAGACTCCCTACTACCTGAGAATCAGCCAATAGCTGCACCTGGTACACTAGAATTTGCATATCGATATGAACAGTTGATGCAGCAAGCTTTAGAGCAGATGCACAGGGCACAGGCGGCGATGATGGGATCTGAGAACAAGCACCGCCGCCCATCTATATTCCAGGTAGGGGACAGAGTCTGGGTCAAGTCCTCAGAACTGGGACAAGAGCGTGGGGTATTCTGCAAGGTCATGCCACAGTACTTTGGACCCTGGGAGGTCTGGATATTGTTGGGGATGATCCGGATCAGAGAGCGCAAACGGGTAACCGTTGCCCGAACCCGGCCGTACCCGACTGTAACCGCCAGATTATGGGCGGGTATGGGTACCCTTTCCGAAGGGGGAGTTGGGTATGGGCAGGCACAAACAAAAGGTGGTGGTTGTTAGGGCGGGCACAATTGCCCTTTTTGGAGATCAAGGATGGGTAGGGGCAGGTAGTGGTAGGGGTAAGGGAAAAAAAAAAGGGTATGGGCGGCCAGAAAAAAAAAATAGACGGGTATGGGCAGGTACGGGTGACCAAAAAAAAAAGGGTTGGGTATGGGCGGGTAGAGGTTCCCATCGAGTAACCGTGGTATAACCGATGTGAGTGTTGTAGCTTTGCAGACTTTGTATTTTGCCTCAAGCGTAACACTTTTTCTCATATTCCAAATTTTTCGCTTTCCTATGAAGCAAACATTTTTCCCCGCAAGGGTGAATTTTACATCTCTTCATTTTTATATTTTTTATTTTTCAAAATTTTAGACTATTTTCATATGTGTGTAACCCTGTGTATGTAATATTTATGTGTGTGTGTGTGTGCGTGTGTGCATGTGTATGTGTGTGCGACAGACCGAGGGTTGTCGCATTTGCAGATGCTATACAGGTTGCATAGGCTTCTGTAGCACCAGATGCATCTATAGCAGCATGAGAGCGACCAGATGTAACAACTGTTGCTGTTGCGGCAGTAGCTGCAGCAGCTGCCACATCTCGCAAAAAAAATAAAAATAATAATATTAATAATAATAAAAATTACCACATCAATCCTGTGACGTCCAGGGGGTTGGGGACGGTTGGGGGCTGTTAAGGACAATCAGGGGCGATTAGGAGTGGTTATAAAAAAAAGAAAAAAAAAGAAAAAAAAGTTAGGCGCGGTTAGGGACAGTTAGGGACAGTTAGGGGCGGTTAGGGACAGGGCCAGTTAGGGACAGTAAGGGGCGGTTATGAGTGGTTAGGGGAGGGTGGGTGATGAGCACGGGTGGTTGCGGGTGGGTGCATACAATTATGGGTAGGTACGGGTGGGTACAGATAAAGAAAACTTGGGTAGGGTAGGGTATGGGTRGTTAACAAACGGTTTGGGTTCAGGTGGCCATGGGTGGTTTTGAAAAAAAATGCTCATGGGTAGGTATGGCCAGTTACATGCTGAAGAGGTTCAGGTAGGGTAGGTCTGGGTACATTTTTTTCTTCTTCTTAGCAGGTGGAGATGGGTAAAGGTCCGGCAGGCCAGGTATACAGTGGGTATGGGTGGTTGGTTCTCAAAGAGGGTGTGGTGTCCTCAAAATCCCAGTTGCGAACTCTGATCCGGATGGGTCGTCATATGTAGTTTAGATCCCTGGTCACCTTCGCACTTACCCTGTCTTTCACGCCTCCAAGCTTGCACCTTCCAAGGAAACTGATCAGTTTCCCTCGCGCCGATCAATGCTGCCCCCAACCATGGATGGAGAGGTCGATATCGACGACATCGTGGACCACAGGGAGTTGCCAGTTCCAAGACCAACCGGCAGGGGACGTCCTCCTAAGCCGAAGTTGCAATATCGCGTTCGGTTCAGACATCACACTGATCCTAAGGAGGATAGATGGTTCACCCGGGAGGAATTGATGCAGACCGCTCGCATGCTGTGTCCAAAACTCAATCTAAAGGAGAAGGTGAGGGAACGGTGGATGTCTCACTTGAACGTGGGGCGGGAGGCAGTCAACCCCATTCGATGGTTCACGGCCACAAAGGCCAAACCTGCGAAATTAGCCTCCTTGCAATGGCAGATTGAACACCGCTGCCTCGCAACAAATAACTGGCTATTAGACCGGAAGTATTTGGAACAGAAGGGTGTAGCAGTCCCATGGTGCAAATCCTGCCTAGCCTCCTACCCCCACCTCAAGATTCCTGAGACCATAAAAGTTGATAGAACACATTTTCATGCAATGCCCGGGGGCGGTTCCTACCTGGCGCTGGTGGGACAGGGTCTGGAGACAACTGGACACTGAATCCCAGTGGCCTTGGGACTGGAGAGCACTCCTATGTGAAACCTGGTCCTCCCCTAGGATGTCGACATTGGTTCTTTGTTGATGATGATGAGACTATTCGAACATTGTCACTTATGAGCTTTTGTTGTGCTCTTATTGGGTGGGACTCGTGTTGCAATTCTGCTGTTGGTTCGAGGTCACGACTATCTGGTCTCATGTGTTTGATGCTGCTTCGTTTCTGAAGTTCGCTATCGCTCATTTTCCTTGCATTATTATTATTATTTGATCTAGTGAGAGAGAGGGAGGGGGAGAGATAGAGATGACTAACAACCGAATGGTTTTGCTGTCTTCCTTGAGTGATTGTTGTGCAGGTTTCCAAACATTGACTTGACAAAGGAGATTGCTGATGAAGATGACATTGCTGTTGGGGACACAGTGACTCTGCTCGTCACTCTGGAGAGGGACATGGAATCAGGTCAGGATGTGGGACTTGTAGATGCACCACGATATCCGAGGATGAAGGAAGAGGGATGGTGGTTGGTGGTCGGTGACTGTAAAAGCAATCAACTTCTGGCAATCAAACGTGTTTCATTGCAAAGAAAGGCAAAAGTCAAGCTCGAGTTTCCGGCAGCTAATGAAGTGGGAAAGAAGACGTACAAACTCTACTTCATGTGTGACTCCTACCTTGGCTGTGACCAGGAGTACGAGTTCACAATCAATGTCAAGGAGGCAGAGGAAGGGGACGCCATGGACGAAGGGTAGCTTCTTGGGCTCGCAGATTTCTTGAAACTAGAGTAGGCTGTGGTTTCCTTCTTTCGTTTTCAATGCCGAAGATGATGGCTTTCCTGAGGTGCTGTGCATGCGCACATATGTGACCTTTCCCTGGGCACACAGAGACTAGGACTCCCTGACTGTATGTGCCTGTAATTATGGCCAGATTCTGTTAAGGAAGTCCTGGCTTGAGTAGTACCTTTGCATAGGACATGCCATGGGTGCAATGGCAGCACCTGGAACTAGGGTAGGAACTCAAGCAGCAACCACCAGTCTGTACTCTACCATGTCAGGCTTGCAGTGAAAATGATGAAATTTGCAAAAGTTGAACCCCGCCTCCCGCATGTACCCGACACCCATGTCCAAATCGGCAGTGGGATTTGGCACCTTGAATCCAGTGAAGTTTGGCCCCCATGTTCGAGTCCCCAAGACTTTTGTTATCTGCCAGGGCTTCTTGAATCTAAGACAGCAAAGCGGATGCTAGGGGTCACCACATCCATGGCAACATGAAGATCCATGAGATGCACGGATGCTACTCCGCTAAAGTTCACTTTCCACATTGGGGACCTGCCACTGTTCTCCTAGAAACCCTCTGACGTAGTATAGTATTGGTGCGATTGTGGGGCCGATTTTAAACCATTGCTGCCTTGCAGAACAACTCTGGTTATCAGGAGACTTGTCCCCTTTTTCAGTTGGTCCATTGGATTGGTGATTAGATGGATGTAGGGGGGTTTTCCTGTCTATAAAGACTGGCCCGATTCTTCTGGAGGTCCTGATGGTGTAGTGTAGTCAACAGTTGATGCAGAGCCAACTCTTGCTGCAAGGTCTAAACAACTCTGGTTTATTGGGAGAGGTGCCGCCTTTTTGAGGTGGACCATTGGATTGGCAATTAGATGAACATAGGTAGGAGGTTTTTCCTGTCTGTTGGGATTGGCCTGATCCTTCTGGAGGTACTGATGGTTTTAATGCAGTGTAGTGTAGTCAACAGTTGATGCAGAGCCAACTCTTGCTGCAAGGCCTGGTTGTCAGGCGGTGGATTGGATGTGGCACGTCTTTTGATGGGGTAAGCAACCGATGGAGCAACCAACACATCTCAGTGATGACGAGGGTCTTCCACTCACACACAGGAGGGGCACTGTTGATGATGGGCCTCGGGGTATTATGTTTGTTGTTGACGGTTGACTGACCATCCGTGTCGTAAACCACCAGTGCTTGGCCCAACTATCGGCCGCGGGAAAGAATAGAGTAGAAACGTTTCTAGTCGGATGAATTTGGGCGCTGCTGTAGTGACCCATACGTTTCCTAAAATTGTGGCTTGTTAACGGGCACAACATTAGAAGTACTGGTGGTTTAAGGATTGCCCTTCTGGAATAAGCAATTCCAGAAGGTATGACCACCAGTACTTGGCCCAGCTATCGGCCGCGGGAAAGAATAGAGTAGAAACGTTTCTAGTCGGATGAATTTGGGCGCTGCTGTAGTGGCCCGTACGTTTCCTAAAATTGTGGCTTGTTAATGGGCACAACATTAGAAGTACTGGTGGTTTAAGGATTGCCCTTCTGGAGGAAGCAGTTCCAGAAGGTGGTTTAAGGATTGCCCTTCTGATATGTCTGTTCGGGATGTGTGAACATGTACATACATCATTGAAGGTGATTCCAACAGGTTTGGATGATGATGTACCATCTGGGAAAAGTTGACCACATGCTTTCTTTTGGGAAACACTTTAACAGGTTTGGACTCTGGAGATGTGAAAAGGCATGTCAACCAGTCTCATATAGGTGAGAAGTCTTTCGGAGCTGGCTTGACTTGATTTGTAGCCTGCAGAGGGAGATGTGAGTGTTTGTTTTGGTTCAGTAGAGGGGGCTGGAGGTACCTTTCTTTTGCTGATGGTTCAAGTCCCCACATGGGGTGGTGGCTCAACAGCGTTTGGTTGTGCTCCTGAATAGGCTTTTGAGAACAACTTCTGTTTCCTTCAGTTAACCATGTCTTCATTCTGTTTTCTTTGTTCCGAGAGAACTGTAACATATGTTCTGTGGGGAGTAGTGGGGAGGGTATAGATAGAGGCCGTTATTCAGTACCCAAGCTGCTTTGTGTACTCATCATCAGTATATTGCTGGTTTTACAATGGTAGGGGTTTTTGCTCATGGAGCTATTCTCTTTGTACGTGATTACAAATCCAGAAGAAAATAAAGAGGATGTTTTAGCCAGATGCTTGAACACAAAGAAGCTACTATATGTCATTGAAGTTGGGTGAGTTTATTTTTGGGATTTTGCACTCCAGGATTATACAAGTACCCATCGCACAGAGAGGATGAGAAAAGGCGATGGAGGAGAGACAAAGAGGGAAAGAGGAAGAGGAGGATCGTGTGTAGCCGAGGGCGTGGAAAGGAAAACAACCATGCTTTGCCCGCAACACACCTCTTCCTGTCCCCCATCCCCCTCAGAAAAAAAGAAAAAAAAATTGCCCAGCGTCTGCCCCTCCTCCCGTTCCTCCTACTCTGCCCCTTCTCTTGCCATTCCTCCTCGTACTTTTATTGCCCCCACTCCTCCTCCTGCCTGTTGTCTTCCCCCTCCTCGTCGGGCTCCTCCTGCAACTCTTCCCGTTCGTCCTCTGCCTTCTCCCGCTCATCGCCTTTCCCTTCCTCCTTGCATTCTTCCTCATGGTTCGTCATCCTCCCCCTTCTCCTCCTCCCCCTCCCCCCCTCGTCATCCCGCCCCTTCTCATAGCGCTGCTCCACCTGCCACTCTTTCTCTCTTTCGTCATCTGCCTCCTCCCACTCGTCATCTTCCTCTTCCTCCTTGCACTTCTCGTGCCACTTGTTCTCCTCCTGTTCGGCGTCCTGCTCCCGCTCGTCATCCTGCCCCTCGTCCTCCGGCTCCTCCCATGCAGCACGGAATGAATCTTGCTCTGAATCATGGGGAGATGCATGGCCATATTCGTTTGTCTTCCTGTTCGTTGTCCTCGCTGTCCTCCTCCCTCCCCTCCTCCCGCTAGTCATCCCGCCCCTCAGACGCATGATACATACAAACAAACAGTCTGACATAGGCAAACAAACAATCTGACACAGACAAAACAGACAGACAGACGGGCACCCACAGACAGTCGGACAAGACAAACAGACAAGACTGATAGACACCAGTAAAACGAACTGATGCACACGCAAAGAAGAGAGAGAGAGAGGGTAAGAGACTGAATGAGCATTACCTGGTTATCTTAGACTGCCGATCCTCTGATGAGGTGCGCGCCGAGTTCAAATGAGTCAGATCGGGAAATGTAGCTTGTGTACCTTGAGTTTTATTATTATTATCGTCAATATGATTAAATGGTGGAGGATTCTCGGGAAAGGCCCCACATTACAAAAAGAGGACTGGGTGGCTATCAAGGAACGTCCCGGGGAGGTGGGAAAGATTATGCAAAACGATACGAACGAAACAGTGAAGGTCAATCTCCATCAAGTGAGATGGAACAATGAAATCCAAAAAATGTGCCCAGAGGAGACAATAACATGTCAAAAAGAAGAGCTATTTAGAATTAGGGTGCTTCACGAAAAAGAACAATTGATAGCCCATCTTCCACATGTTCCGGTGCACCATCTGGCTCTTGACCCGGCAGAATGGAAATGGTCACCATCTACGAGAAATGGCAGGAAATTTACACAATCCTTGTATGGCCCATCGGTGAAGGCAACCTACAGGCTTCTCAGGCCGAGATTAAACCTGCGAGACCAGGTGGAGAGCCGCTGGATGAGGCATTTGAATGTAAGCAAAGATGACCTGAAGAAAATTAAATGGTTCAAAACGGCAAAAGAAAAGCCGGCGAATTTGGCTTTGCTGCAATGGCAGATAGAGCACCGCTGCCTTCCGACCAACGACTGGCTTATCGATAGAACACGGCTGGAGCAAATGGGGAAAGCTCTACCATGGTGCAGACTGTGCACTGACCCGTTTCCATCCCGGAAAAGGCCCGAGACTATTGAGCACACATTTCTGCAGTGCCCGGGAGCAATCTGGCTATGGAGATGGTGGGACAGAATTTGGGACCAACTAGAAACGCTATCTCCATGGCCGTGGGATTGGAAAGCCCTGCTCTGTGAAGTATGGACGGAAGAGGGGATGGACGAGTTGACCGGTAACATGTTCAAATTGGGACGAAGGGCGGTACTTTGGGCCCTCTGGAGACGGCGATGTACCTATGAAATGGAACGGGCAAGACTAGATGGCCCGGAGTTCGTTGATAGTATCCAACAACAGATCCAAACAGAAATTGCTGCGAAATGGGACTCTGTCAAAGTCCAGACACAGACATTAATCTCAAGACATGACATCCAACGCAAAATTCAAAATTTCTCCTTGAGCTGGCTGGGGGGGGACAAAAGGAGAAGGATAGGGAGAGTGGAATGGAGAGGTGGACAGGAAACAGGGGAGGGATTAGTCAGGGACTATCGGCTTCTTTTCAACGACTGGACAAAGATAGACGCAGCTATCCCAATGAAATCTGCCCAAGAATTCCCCGATCTCTTCCCGCCCCCCTCAAATAGCATAGTAGACTTAGAATGGTATGGGAGAGAGGGATGAAAAGAAGGGACAGAGGTCGGGTCTGAGGCTAGTAGTAAACTGTCAATTTTCTACCCTTCAGTCGGGGCTGGGTTTCTGTCCTCAAGAGGATGTGCAGTGGGGGGAGGAAGGGTTCAGCAGGTGAATGATAATATCTGGTGCCGTTCTCAAGGTGAAGAGGCCCCTCCCCTGACCCGGAGTCCTGCTCAGTCAATCCCCTGGACTTCCAGGGCAATCAATGCTGACAGGAAATCGCTGTATGAATGACTGGATGTAAATGGGACGCTGGACCCGTTTTCCAGCAGGTGTTGCTCCCCACCAATAGATGGAGCCGTCCCCCGGGCGGTAGTGGTGTCTGCTCCTACCAGCACCACTAAAGCTGTTGGAGGCATTTTCAAAAAAAAAAAAAAAAAAAAAAAAAAGATTAAAATTCATTAAATATTATTGTTATTGTTATCATTATTATAGTATTTTTGTTGTTATTATTATTAGCAACACACCCAATAAGGCTCAAAAAGGTGTCGAGCCTCTGCATTCTGAAGCAAACACATAGCAGACAGCTGGTACATGGTCCAAGCCAAGAAGGAGGAGGGGTCTGAGTACTTGTGATGGTGGTTGCGAGAGTAGACTCTCACTAGGCATTCGGATTTAGTGCTTGAGGTTTCGGTTGATGAAGTATCGATGCAGTTCCGCTTTCCAAACGGTATCAGATTTCCTGGCTTTCAATGTGACTCCGCAATCTGGAATCTGTTATTTCGCCATTGCCCGGTTTACTCGTATTACTATTACAGTATTAATATTATTATTATTATCATTCTTATTTATATTACTATTATTGTTATTATTAATTATTATCATTATTATTATTATTTTATTATTATTATTATTATTATTATTATTATTATTATTATTATTATTGATGTTGTTATTATTATTATTATTATTATTACGATAACTTGTGACCTGGGCGAGCCTTGTGTCCACCCTAAGTGAAGGCGGCCCTGAGTATCGGTGAGAGGCACTTGCCTCAGCAATTTCCAAAGAGGGTTTCATGCAGTGCTGCACGCCAGTTGGATTGAAGTGCAACCGGGAACTTCGCCTCAAGGGTCCTCGCAAAAGATGCAGGTGCGCAGGTAGTGACACCTTGGGCACACACAGCGTGAGGCCAGCATAGTAAGGCAGGCCGCGGGCCACTGAGGACGCAGCGTTATCACCGCATCCACGCGCAGGCACTGCGTGTGTAGTGGGCGGACAGCGGAACACTAACGGGTTATGGCTTGGCATGCAGAATAACAAGCATGCACCCATGCAGCTTGCAAACAGATGCGCAGAAACGGCATGCGCAGAAACGGCATGCCTGCACCAACACGGTCTTGCAGGCAGGCAGGGCATCAATCACACGCGAATGGTTCTAGACAACAAGCATGCAGAACAGCGCGCGGGTGACTGTACCCAAGGCTGTATAGCGAAAGCAGATGGGGAGGGGGAAGTGAAAATGGAGGAAGGTCTTTGACAAGTGATACATCAATAAGACATTTTCCCTTTCTTTGATCCTTTGCTACTTGCAAAGTCGCTCAAAATGTTGACAGACATTACTGTTATTATTATTATTACCAATTTATCATTTTTTATTATTATTATTTATGATTATTATTATTATTATTGTGATTATTATTATTATTATTATTATTATTATTATTATTATTATTATTATTATTATTAAATTGCAACTTTTATTATTTTATTATTATTGTTATTATTATTGTTATTATTTGTCTATTATTTTTATTTATTCATGTTATTTAAAATTATTTTGCTATTGCTACTATTTGGACATCGTATGTTAAACAAAGAATCAAAGATGAAAATGCAGGGCATCGGAAAGGAGAGAAACATTATCACCTTGTGATGGTGCCTACCTCCTCCATCCTCCATTTCCAACATCGGTTGATCCTTTCAAATACCAATCTCTACGACCATGAATGTTCGATGTCGTGATTTTCACTAAGATAATCTCGGGTTATGCTAACTTTGAGGTCCAGGCAACCAATGGTATAAAACTAAGACAAAGACCGTAAACAGGGCGATCGCGGGAGCTCTGCCGAAGTTCAGGAGGAACTCTAGAGGCAGGGAACGATAAGGTACGTCTGACCTATCCCTTTCCCGTATACCCATACAAAGTACAACCCTCTGTTGGACTGCATGTATGGTTCTGTGATATACTGTTTATGCTTTCTTCAGGACTAAAGAGTATCAAAAAGCAAAAACATTATATGCCTAAAAAAGATAATCTTGCCTGATAAAAGGAGAGGAATCTAACTTAACCGAAAAGGAACCTCGATTGCTTGGACTTGGAAAGAAAAGTGGTGCGATGGAGGCTCATGTGTGAGCCGTCGCGCTACTTAGGCATGCACTGACTCAATTAAGGACGAAATGGTGAGGTACTCATGCATGAGTTACCCTACTATCTGCCTGATCGACTGTCGTCGTGAAGGAGAGGAGTGACTAACATTTAGAAATAATAAAGGGAGACTCTTGTGAGGGTGGCCCTGTTAACCTACCGGGTTGGTCTCCGAACGCGGTAGAACACTCATGTATGGGTTGGACACTTGCCTTATGAGAGTGGGACGATTGATAAAATCCGAAGGGTGGCGGTACTCCTGTGTCTGTTACCTCACCACCTTGATTAACTAGGGAACTGCTTGATGTGAAAGATGGGGGGAATTATGGTACTAACTTCCCTTTTTATTGACGACTCAAAAAGATTCAGTCCTTGCGCTTATTCAAGGTGTAGTAGGGGGTTCCAGTGAGGGTCCTCCTATTCACACACTAGAGTCTAAGGCTGGCTAACGACCTACAAGTAGTAAATCACATTGCTTCTCTTTCCTTACCAACTTACTCTCAGGCAGTCCAGTCACCAAACGGGTAGTAGAACGGTTTTTGTAGGAGTTATCCTATTACTTGTTTCGGATATGGACTACTCATTACCCAAGGAAGTAGTAGGGGGGCCCTTGTTGGGGTCTGCCTATTACTTACTTGATTTCGTACTAACATACGTGGCGGGGTACTCCTATAGGAATACCCTAAACACTCGTCTTCTGTCCAAACTAACCGGGTCTCAGATTGGTTAGCTTCGGGAGGGCAGTAGGATACCCTTGTTAGGATTATCCTAATGCACTCATGAAGTGGATCGTGCATTTGGTCACGTGATAGTAGGAGGCTCTTGTGCGGGTCGCCTATTATTCACTCAGACCGTTATTAACCTCTAGGAGGGGGTTGAAATCCAGATATTTCCGAGTGATACCTAAAGCAAGTAGTAGGGTGCCCTGGTAGGAGCCTCAACTATTTGTTTCAAGAGGGATACTCATGTGTGAGTTATTCGGCGACTTGGAACAGATCTTGTATATTGCTACCCATTTGCATTTGTATTGAATGAGACTGGAAAAGGAGTCAAGCACTCATGAGTGATTTACTCGAATGTCTGTTTGATTAACATATTGCTTGGTATTGACCAAGTGGCAAAAGATTCATGTCTGAATCAACCTGCTACTTAAGTATGTCAAGACAAATAGAAGAGAGAGGAAAGAACGATGCTCCTGTTGGAGCAAGGCCTCACGAACCTAGGAAAGAAACAAAGAAAGAAGTTAGGGCCGCGGGAAAAAGAATACTAGCAGAATAAGAATCACCACGAGGTCTGTGTCCGTTCATGACTTTCAAGGGGAAGGCCACAACATCAAATGAGTTAAGACTCTACTACATAAGTACCAAGGGGTGTGCTTATTCTAAAAGAGAGAAGATAATAGGACTGAGAGTAGGGAACATACGAGCTTCCCTAAGACAACTTAGGACACAGGCATGAAACTCCTTGAGAAAAGGAGAGGGAGACAGACGACTTAAGGGTGGTTTGAATAAAGTTAGGGATTAGACTTTGGGATGTCGATCCCAGGGCTCACAGTCCAGATCTAAGGGTTGACCCTTAGATATCAATATGTGGGAAATTGAGTGGGGATGTTGAATCTTTGTTGACTTTTGTGTGTGCAGGTCCCCCGTTTATCTACGGCAATTGAAGGAAAAGGGTCTACGAAAATGACAAACTTTTGTGTTATCTCTCGATAACAAGTCGGTTGT